TACTGCTGTTACGAGCAATAATAATAATGATAATAATATTAATAATAGGAATGATAATGATAACAATGACAATAATAGTAATGATGAAAACAACAGTTATAATGACAATAACAATAATAGTAATGATAATAATAATGATAATTATAGTAATAATAATGATGATGATAATAATGATAATAATACTGCTAACAATCATAATATCAATAAAAATAGTGATAGTATCAACAATAACAACAATAACAAAAAATGTTAATGATGATGATTCCAAGAAATATATAATGATAACAGAGATAACGACAATATCAACAACAATAACAGCAATAATAACGATTACAGTGATAATGATAACAATAATAACTGATAATGATGATGATGGTAATAATAGCAAATATGGTAATGATAATAATAATTATTATTATTATGATAATAATAGTAATAATAATAATAATAATAATAACAACAATAATAATGATAGCAATAATAATAATAATGATAATAGACGCAAGAATAGCAATAATTATTATAATGATAATCATAATGATGATAATATTATGACCATTACCAATAATGGTAATGATAATAATTATGATGGGGATAATAACAGTAATAACAATAATAATAAAAATGGTTATAATGATAATAAGGATAATATTAACAATAATGATGATAATGATTATGATAATAATAAGCATCATTATTATGATATTAATGATAGATAGAATAATGATAATGATAATAATAATAATAACAGTAGAGAAAAAAATAATAGATAGAACGATAATAATAATAAAAACAGAGAGAAAAATAATAATAATAGGTAGAAAAATAATAATAACAATAATGATAAACAAATATTAGATATTTGTGTGTTTGTAAATTTATATATATCTGTATTTAAGAATGAAACCAGGCCTTAGACAACAGCTTATTCAGAAAATCAGGAATCCTCATTCTATCACTGAAGGCGAAGTAGATTTTAATTCGTAGCGATGATTTAGCGATCCCCCCCCCCTCTCTCTCTCTACTGTCTCTTTCCGCTCTCGTTATTCTCTCTCTCTCTCTCTCTCTCTCTCTCTCTCTCTCTCTCTTCTCTCTCTCTCTCTCTCTCTCTCTCTACTGTCTCTTCCGCTTCGTATTCTCTCTCTCTGCTGTGGTCAGTTTTATATTTTGCTTCTCTGATATCTTTTAGCATTCTTCTTCCATTCGCAACATGGGGAAATTTGTTTTCAAAATCAGGTTTTAGTGGAAAGTCTCTCAATAGGTTTGCAAAACGAAACCGGAGCTCGCAAAATCACCATTTTTCTCTCTTCGTGTTGAAAACGTTTTCCAAACGTGGAAAGCTTATAATGTTTGTTTATGTGAAACTTTGGGTGCAGTGATGAACGTTCTTATAGTAAATGTTGCCTTTTTTTCCTCTTTTCGCTTCGGAAACAAAGAGGCGCAGTGACATGTGATGATGAAATGTTTTTCTTCAGATTCTGGCTCTCGCGCCGGTGAGACGCGCTTCCCGTCTGTCCGCAGCCGCCGCTGTTCCTGCGCCTCTGCTGATCAGAGACTCGAAGCAAGCGATTTAGGAAGCTCGCTCGTGGCTTCGCTCGAATGGGTGACCTCAGCCGCTAGAAGCTGGTGCTCGGCCTCGAACGAGCCAGCAAAGGCCTCAAGAAGAAGCTCGGTGAGGACTTCTAGGTCGCCATGATTCCTGCCGTCGCCGACGAGCTCCGTCGGCAGGACGAAGGAGCATATGCAATATATGCAATATATATATATATATATATATATATATTATATATAATATATGCATATATATATATATATAATTATATGTGCATATATATATATATATATATATATATTTATATATATATATATATCATATATACATATATGTATATTATATATATATATATATATATATATATATATATATTATAATATATGTATATATATATATATATATATATATATATATATATATAATATATATATATATATGTATACATATATATACATATATATATATATATATATACATATATATATATATATATATATATATATATATATATATATATATATATTATATATATATATTACATATATGTATATATTATATATATATATATATATTATATACATACACATATATTATATATAATATATATTTATATATAATATATATATATATATATATATATATGTATATATATATATTATATAACATATATATGTATATTATATATATATATATATATATATATATGTATATATATATATATATATATATATATATATATATATATATATATATATATATGTATATAGTATATGCAATGTTTATGTTGCATTTAAGATGTAACATTCCTTGTTATCATCAAGGTTTTCTTTTTTTATCAGGCCTATATAACAACTATATAATGATATAAAAAATATAATGATAATTACAATAATGATAATGTATGATGATAATAACAATAGTAATAAAAGAGAAAAATAATAGTAA